CCAACCAGCTTCCTCTGAACTTAATAATTGTGTCTTATATATATGGAACATCATATTTGCTAAATAGGTTATATTAACATTTGGGAAATGTATCCCTCCTTTCCTGCTCTTCTGCATCAAAAGTTGCTTATTCATCCTCGGCCTTTTTCCTTTCCATATAAAATTGTTTATATCTTGTTGGATCATAGATAACCATGGTTGTGGCATTCTCAAGGGGATCATACGAAATAGATAAGACCATTAAGGGAGTAGATACGAGTTGACCAAATTAATTCTGCCCCACCAAGACAGTTCAATTTGTCTCCATCTCTTTAACGACTCATGTGTCGATCTAAATATTTTCAAAAAGTTTGTTTGGAGCGTATCTTTTGCATCATCAGTAAGAATTATACCCAAGTAAGATAACATATTTTTATTACAATTAAATTTATATTTATCTTTGATCTGTTGAATAGAGTCTCTAGAAATATTTATTGCTAAGAAAGTAGATTTAATCGCATTTATTTTATAATTTGAGATCAGACTATATTTATCTATCTCTTCCATTAAAGCATAAAGCGATTCGACAGGGTCGGTTAGGGTCAATATCAAATCATCAGCATATAGATTTAATTTAAATTCTTTCTCTTTGAGTCTGAATCCTTTAATTTGAGGGTTATCTCTTATATTAATAGCTAAGATCTCCATTGTCATAATATATAAAATCGGCGACAAAGGACAACCCTGTCTCGTACCATTTTTAAGTGTAAACCACTCTGCGCATATATTTGGGGCCACTGTTCTTGCTTTTGGACCTTCATATAATGCCAAAATAGCATTAAGCATCCTTCCCTGAATACCAAATTTTTCCAAAGTTTTCCTTAAAAAATCCCAACCGACCCTGTCGAATGCTTTCTCTGCATCTACCGCCAGTACAAATAAAGATTTGTTATTTCTTCTAGATACATCTATCAAGTCCAATAATCTTCTAGAGTTATCTACTGAATCTCTGCCTTGTACAAAACCAATTTGATCGTTTTTAATTATAATATCCATTAATCCCCTTAATCTGTGGGCCAAAACAGAAGAAAAATTTTTGACATCTGTATTAATTAAGGAAATAGGTCTGTAGTTTTCTACCTTTAAAGGATCTTTATTATCTTTAAGAATTGGAAGAATATTTGCACTCAACATTTCGGTAGGAAATTTACCCACTGATACAATTTCATTAAACATATCTGTTAAGTGGGGAACTATAAGATTTTTAAATGATTTATAAAATATATTTGCAAATCCATCTGGACCTGGCATCTTATCTGATTTTAATTTATTTATTACTACCTCTACTTCCTGAACTGTAATTAAAGTATTTAGCTTATTAGTTTGTTCAATTGTAAGCTTAGGTGTACTAGTTTTACTCAAATAATCCTCCTCATTAGTTATCGGGGGAGATAAATTATACAGAGCCTCATAATACTTATTGAATCTCTCACCTATTTTTTTTGGATCCAGATATACCCCATCTTCATCCTCTATCTTTACTATTTTATTAGATCCAATTTTATCTCTTAATTTTTTAGTCATAATTCTATCAGCTTGATTTCCCTTATAATAGTAATTAGCTTTAAGTTTATTCCTGATTTTTGCATTCTTTGCTATAAGAAAATTATTAATTCTATTCTGAGTACTTTTTAGTTCATCTGCATTTTCTTTAGAGGGAAACTGCTTATTCTTACTAGCAATCTTTTTTAGTTCTGCTTGTAATACCATAAAAGAACTATTATTTTCTACTTTATATCTTGTTTGTATACTTATTATGTTTCCTCTCATGGTGGATTTAAAAGCGCACCAGTTATTTGTATATGAGGTGTCGTTTGGATCATTTTCAAGGAAGAAGGTTGCTATTTGTTTTTCCAATATATCAAGATTAATCTTAGATTTTAACAAATTATCGTCCATACGCCAAGTATCACGACCAATCCTAGTCCATTGATTCTTCATCTCCCACATATTAATACTGTGATCTGACCAGGTATTATCAAGTATCTTAAAATATTTAATATTCGTCAATGCTATCACATTTCCCCAAACCATATCTATTCGGGAATACGAAAGGTGTACACGTGAAAAAAACGTATATTCCAATGAATCAGGATTGGTCGTTCTCCAAAGATCAAAATAATCAAAATTAATCATATTTCTCTTAATAGATTTTGCCAATTTGTCTGTTCTTTTTTGATGTAATAATATAGAAGTTGTCTTCTTATCTAATATCGGGTCCAATACACTATTAAAGTCCCCAGCCACCAAACATGTACCTATTTTGATAGATTCGATTAAACTTAAAACCTTTTTTAAAGTTGGAGCAGGAAAATCATTAGGGAGATATATATTAGTCAATGTATATGGTATCTCATTCAATCTACAACAAACTATAACGTATCTACCTTCCTTATCTTTAATTTGATGTATTATATCCACTTTTAATGTGTGGGAAAATACTATTGCTACTCCTCTTTTTTTTTCTCCACTTAAAGAAGCATGTATTATTGTGGGGAATTTTGAACCACCCCATCTTTGGTTATCCATGTCTAACCAATAGGTTTCTTGAAAAAAGCCCACTTCCACTTTATTTCTTAACATATAATCATAAATTAAAGATTTTTTGATTGGAGAATTAAGGCCCTGGACATTAACTGAAATCATCTTTACCATTTTAAATCAAAAAACATTGTTTCCACTGACCCCAAAAGAGCTGCAATGCAATTACATAAAACACAAATAGTCCATTGTACATAGACCCACAAAAGCCTTATGGGAAAAACACCCAGTCTGGCCCAACACAGCCTGGCTCCCGAAAGGTTATCTCTCGACATACCACTCCAGGGCCATCTGTGTCCTCGTGAGATGGTATTTGGGATTACCATATCACGGTATTTGTGTCAACAAAAAAGATGACACTTGGTGCGGCAGATATGGAGGAGAGTAACCAAAAATCTTATTCCTTATATTTGAGAACACTCTACTGTCTCATAGAATTACTCAGAAAAAAAAAAAAAAACACCCTTGTTTACAGCCTACAACCCTTGATAATTATGGATACATAATCGCCAGCAGTTCATATAATTACATTATTTTAAAAGATCTATACAGTTGTTCTAGAAAATCTTCCATGCTTCTTATACAACTTACTATTACCACCCAACCAATTGTGTATTTACGTAACAATGTATACAAATCTATCTCTTGTGTCAACTCCAACCGTGTATTTTAATCCTGTAGTGATTATTTACCCATAATCATTAATAATTTATCTATTCCTACTGTATATGCAAAATCAGCCCATCCATTAAAGATTTCTTCCGTGTTTCTTATTCAAATTTCCAGTATCCCCTAACTCTTTATCGATTTCTGATACTATGTGTAAAAATTACATCCCTTTACTGTATTAAAACTATCCATTTTTATAAATTTACCCAATCTTATGTGCATATTTTCTCTTTTAGAGTATTAACTCTTAACATCCATCTTGAAGCGTGTACAAATAAAACCACCATTTACTTATTATTCACACTTATTCTTAACCTTTAACTTATCTCCATCCTTTACATTGTTATCTATCTATTCTCACCAAACAAAAAAAACAAAAAAAATTATAATTCTAATTGTTCATATTCATCCAGACAACTGCGAATCATCTTCAGTTTTTGATTATTATTCCTGAGTCATATAGCACCCGCTATTGATTGTTCTTCCATCCATTTTCTCAAGGCATCCAGAGTAGTAAATTTTTCATTTTTTTCTCTCAAAAAGATCCTAAGGCATTTAGGAAATCCCCATATATATTTCACTTCTTTGGCTCTTAATATGGATAGTTCCTGACTAAAACTTTTCCGCCATGCTCTTGTATGAAAAGATAGATCAGGGAAAATCTTCAAGTTCTTAAATCTCTCTTCTATAACCGGATTATTTCTCACAGAACTCATTATTTGATTTTTAATGTAAAAAGATTGAAACTTAACGATTACATCTCTTGGTAATGATTCTGCCACATTTCTGGGTCTGGGTAACCTGTGGTATCTTTCTAATTCTGAATCTTGTAGACCAACTTGAGATAATACTGTTTCAAAGTATTCCATCAGAAATTTTTTCAGTGAAGAATCATTAATTTGTTCAGGAATATTACGAATTCTTATATTAGTTCTCCTGGAACGATCTTCCAAGTCATTTAATTTATCCTCTAATAATTCTACCTTGGATTGTAGGTCTGTCATTACTGACTCTATGTGCACGTTTTTTAAGTCTGTTTGCATCATCTTAGACTCTATAGATTCCAATTAGACTTTCATATCTCTTATCTCTTGTTTTAAATCTAGTCATCCTTTTTGGATATCTTCTTTAATATTGTCCTGTAATTTCTCCAGGTAATTAATTAAGATCTCTTCAGTTAGAGGTTTATCTGCATGTGCAACCTGAGAGGAATTTGAGTTAGTTTGGGGGGAGGGGAATTATCCTGATTTTCAGAATTCAGTTGGAGTTTGTTTGGAGGAGGGGAGAAATATCCTGATAACCTTTTATCAGTGATGATGTGTTTTCTCTTTTTTTTCATTCCTCCTGTGGCTTTCTGGTTGCCATTTTGTGTTCTATAAAAGATCTTCTGTCCTTTTATTCTTCCCTTTTCTTTCTTATTGTTTTTTCTCAGTTTCCTTTCCTCCTCCTTTTTTTTTTTTTCTTTTTTTTTTTTTCTTCAAGCTTCACCTTACCCTCTTTTATTTGGGAAGCTCTCTTTTTTTTTTCTCTCCTTTTCACCCTTTCTCTTTCTCTCTCTCTTTTTTTTTAAAAACAACAAGACAGCAAAAATTGTCCTCAGTGTTTATAATCCAGTTATATATATTTTTTTTTTTTTGAGGCTTCACCCCTCCACTCTCTTCTCTCTCCTAATACTTTACAAGAAACCTATTTTCTCTAGTTTTTGTTTTCTACCCTCACCCCCCTTCTCTCTTTCACCCTCTCAGATACATTGTTGCTCTGTTAGACTTAGTAATATCGATAAAACATGAAAACAGACTTATCTTTCCAGCCTGTATATCCAGCCTGTATAACGAGTGTATATCGAGTGCTTCTCTTCACCGGACCCCCAGTGCGTCTCCGGGTGGCCCAAAACCTCAGCAGGCTGCAGAGAGAACTGAAGTCCCAGATTTCATCCACCCGGTCGTCCTCTCAGTCGCTCACTCCACCCGCCAAAAAAAAACGCCGCCGGCCGTTCTCCACCATACCGCCCCTCCTCTCACGTAGACGCACACCCGCCTATGTCATCAGTCCTCCACCAAAAGACCTAGGATTTCTTGGAAGGTCTGACTTCCTATCGTGTGTCATACCTTTATTTTTATATAGCATTTTATATTATTTTTATTATTTCTTACATGGTCATTGAATACTCCGGATTATCCACTCACCCAAGAATCCCAGGTGGGGATTATACCACCTATGCTATCATAGTGAGCAGTACATTCCTGCTCACTTATATGTGAGTATTCTACCTTTTATACACCTATTTGTTATTGCTGCTTAAAGAGAGCACTATTTGTTTTTATTTCTTTCCCTATACCGAGGGCCTGTACCTACCTACACCTATATCCTACCAGTGGGGGATCAACACCACTGAATGCCATTCACTCCTGAGCTGGTCTTAGCTCTACAATAGGTGAGTAAGAAGGACTATGATTATCATTACCTTCGTCTCCTTATCGCAGTTTTACACGATTGGAATTTCCTTCTCTTATCTGCATGCTTTCACATCATCTGGATACCTGACTCCCTCGGATCTTACAAGGCCCACTGATTTTATTTATTCCTTCAATCAAACTTGGACTCTTGTTACTCACACTTTTTTATCAGGACTCCATTCCATTTTTATTCATTTTATGTAAGTACGCATTGTTTTTATTATTTTATTACAGTCCTTGCCGCGACCTATATTTTGTATTTTGCTATTGTATTTTCTGTTGATGTTTTTTGAGGGAACATCATACCCTTAGGTTGTGGCCCATTTCTCACTGATTTTAGCTGCCTACTGGTCACTAAGCGCTGATCCAACAACCATTTACACTATACTTCCATGTTCAGCACGCTACGCACGTTTTGCCCCACCTCTCTGAGCTTTTTCAAGCATGTGATGAGTCCTGCTGTTCGGCTCTTTTTTATACCTTTTTTATCTCAATAAGGTATATACACCACAGTACTGAGAGCTTAACTTCCATGCTTTTTAATGTTTTTATACATTTGGAATAAAAGCTTTTAAAGCAAGTTTGCATCTGATGTAAACTTGCATGAAACAATTTTCTTTTCATGCAGGCCATGTGAGTCACAGCCAGGAAAAGTGTGGCTAGAATTGCCTAAATAAAAGTGATTTAACTCCTAACTGCAGATAAATGAGCAGTGAGACTGTGTGGGCATGATCTATACACCAAAACTGCTTCATTTGATGTCAACATACACTGTTCTGTTAATCAGTGTGCAAAGCTAGCATGGAATTTTTCTAGTATAATGCAGGACTTTTTAGGTATAGATTGGCATAACATATTACTTAACCCAAGCAAAATTTAGAAAAAGCTCTACTGTATAAATTGCAATAAATTCCTCCGTAGTGATCTGTGATTCTAGCGGTGTTAGTAGAGTTATAAAGGCAGAACTGTTTGGGCAACTCTCTGTGGTTTGTGGATAGGAAAAAAATGAACACTGAAGACCACATCTTAAGAACCACTACTTACCTCTTAAAACACAAGGAAATCAATTAACATATTGCATTATTCTACAGCAAAATGTACCAAGGCTACGTCCTGTTGTAATATAATCCTAGCATTTCTACTTTTATTTTATAATTTTGAATATATATTAATATACATACACACAAAGCTATTTTATTGCATACTAGGAATTCAACCAATGCATTGTACAAGAATGAGTGTGTGAGGGTTTTTCTTAAACATTTTATCCACTACCTATGTTTCTCTTAAGTCATTCATTGTCTTCAATGATAGTTTCTCCATTATTTGTGTCTCTTTCAGGTGTGTTGTGGTTACTATAGCAACTGAGATGGTACCCATTCCCCAGATCATGCATCTACAAGGGTTTTTTTTTTTTCACTAAGCATTAAATTATAGTGAATTTAAATTTGATTTGCAAAATCTCGGCAAAAATAAATAATTATGCTATAGTCACAGTTTTGGCTATTATAGCCTAAAAGTTGTGTTTCAAATTTCATTATACTACAATTTGGTGTTTAGTAAATAAACTCCAAGTCTATGTGTAGTGTCTGTGACATATAAATTATTTGTTCTTAATTGGTAAATTTGACACAAATAAACATTTAGTTAATGAGGTAAATAATAGATCAAAGAGGAGGTAATATCTAAAATTTTCTAAATTTAAATTCTTTTTTTTTATATAAAAATTTTCAAATTAGTATGTGCTCTCATTCTACAACATATCAACATTAATTGTTTATTATAATTTGCTCTTAAGAAATTGACATAACCTTGTTTGAAATAGTATCATTTCTTTGTTTGGCAGGATTATAACGAATAGTTCTTTATTCTAGTATTAAACTCATATTGGAAATATAACTTAAAATATAACTTAAAAATAAATAGGTTTCATAACTACAAATAATAGTGTTTGTAACCAAAAGCTTATCTTGCAGCATCCTTGTTCTGTCTTATGACCTAATTTCCCATTCAGCATCAACAAAGGAAATGTCAATATAAATTCATACCTATTACAGATTTATTCTTTAGAACAGTAGTTCCCAACCCAAACCTAAAGGCACACCAATGGTCCCTACAAGAATAGAACTGGGAAATCCCAAAATCCCAGACTTTTGTGCGTTGACTGAATTGGATATAAGTTTGAACATTGAGAGCAATGCATCCTTTACCCTTTATATAAATAAAGAATTTGTAAAGCAAACATTTGTTTGTGGGTCAAAATAGGGAAAAATTGACAGGAAAGCCCTTACATGTATACATTGTGTACTGCTTAGGAACAGGCCAAATTAATACTCACTAGGTCAAAGTCTGAGGAGAATATAATTAGCAGAAATGAAAAAGTGCAGAAATTATGGGAAAATTCCATGTTTGGACGGAAAGGCAGCTATTGTGTAAGTAAAACCAGGTTTTCTCTTTTTCGTGTTCTTTCTAAATTTTGTGTTTTGTAACTTTGTTTTTAAAATTAAGGGATGGTGTACAGAGAATCTAGGCCAGGAGTACCCAACCTGTGGTACGCGTACACCCATGGGTACAATCCAGTTCCTCCGGGGATACCCAAAAAAAAAAAAATCAATAATGGCAGTTCTGCCACAGGTTGGGAACTGCAGGGTGAGGGTCCATCGGGTGGTCCGTGTACTTAGGGTCACGCAATAGACATGTGCCATGAGGGACATGATCGTGCACTGTGGGGCTCTAGTAACACAACTGGGCCCCTTCTAATCTGCATAGAATGCTAAGACTAAGTGAGACATGGTCACGTCCTCCCAGCTGATTGAGACCCAGCCATGTGGGCAGAGGGGTGGACAGGGAGAGGAGCTGTATCTGTATTTGTGTTACTGTATATGCGTGTGTGTATCTGAATGTGTCAGTGTGTGTATCTGTATGTCTGTATCTGTGTGTCAATCTGTGTATCTGTATGCCTGTCAGTATGCATGTATGTAACTATTTGTTCTAACACAGTAAAGGAGTTTAAGCATGCGTGGGATAGGCATAAGGCTATCCTAACTATAAGATAAGGCTAGGGACTAATGAAAGTATTTAGAAAATTGGGCAGACTAGATGGGCCGAATGGTTCTTATCTGCCGTCACATTCTATGTTTCTATGTTTCTATGTATCAACAAGAAACAAACCACCCTGCACTCTTGTTTCACCTTACGATCCGGCCACTATCCTGAGAGGTGCTCCATGTAAAAATGGACACCACCAATCCGTGCAAATTCAAGGAAAACTATAAATGGGCAGCACTCCAGGATGCAAGTGGTAACAATGTTTATTGGAGTCACCTCAGCACTCAGCAGTGCGATGTTTTGGCTCCTCAGAGGAGCAGTTGAACATGGGGCAAAGGAAGAGCAGGGGAGTCTGGAGCAAAGAAGAAGCCGGGGGTGCCTGCCGTGGAGAACATGGGCAGATGGGGTAAAGAAAAACATGTAAATAACAGCAATTATATTAATCACAAACATTTTGCTAATATGAAGGGTACAATTTATGACAAATGAAAAAAGGTTGGGAACCACTGTTATAAGAAATATAACTTCAATACCGAGATGTAGTGTCGTTTTGAGTACACATTTAATGCCCTGTATTCATTTTAATCCAACTAATGTTTTTTAGCAAGTATAACTAACAATACAAGTTATTTTCTTTAAAACTTCTGCATCTTTTAGTATGACTCTTTGTGACATTACATGAGCTGATACTACAAGTGATGTACTGGAAACACCATGATTTTTTAAAATTTTAATTTTAGCCTACGACAGACAGAAAGGTATGAAGTTATAGTAAGTTATGAAATGAATCCAAATATCTGGGAGCACCCCAGACTTTAAGAAATGCCATTATTGTCTTCAGGAACCTGCATTTGTTCTATCATAGATCATATTAAATTAATTCTTATGGTTGAACCAAAAACATAAGTGTAAGACAGACAGCACTCAGGCCAGAGATAGAACAGATATATCTGCCAGTAAGCCAGGGTCAAGGTCAGAGGGATATAGTTAATGTCCTTTTAATGGATCTATTGAAACAGGAAGGCTGCCTTGGGCACTATTCTCTAAGACTAAGGGCAACAGTTGAAGAGACAGAAATAGCATTACCAGAACACTCTGCTGCTTATTACTCCAGCCAGCCAAACACCGCCCTGGCCAATCAGAATCTCCTCATAGAGACTCACTGAATCTGTGCATTTCTATAGGGTGAGTTCAGTGTCACAGAATGTCAGTGCTGCACAGTGCCCCAGGAGTGGCCACTGGAGGCGTCCCAATAGTGGCTATAGTGTCCCTTTAACCCCTTAAAGATGGTGACAATTGGACAAGTTCTGATCATAAGCTGGAATTTGAGCTAAATGTCTGTTTCCATATGAAACAATTTAATATGAATACAATCTAAAACAAATTTTTGAGAAATTAAGAAATTTTGTTATTTTATGATTTCTGCATGGCCTATTAACTTTGAATGTCACAATAATGTTA